TATCGCTGTCATATAAGGGCCACATGGCAATCTACCAAAACTCGCAGACTGTCTGAGAGCTTGTGCTAGCTTGCCAAAATTGTGACAGCTTTGACAGCTTTGACTCGCAGTGGGAAATGTTCATGAAGGCCAGAACCACTCAGGAATGCCAAATATGGCGATATTTCACGGTGTTCCTAGCTGAGTGCATGGGGATAGGGCATACCCCGGCTTTATGTGGCCGTCGGCTGCCGACTCATCTGTATCCTGTCAGAAGAGGATCCCTTTTAGCGGAACCCAATACGCTATCCAAGTTTATTGTCCATATGCAATTGCTCGTATCGAATATGAGCATCCGATTTGAGCTTCAGTCCAACCAATCCGATGAAATTCTCCACTTTTACCCACGGTCCCAGACCAGCGGTCTGGCGTGTATGATCCTGACGATTATCAAGTTTGATGCTGCCTGAATCAGGCTCACAGAGAATTAAAGCTCATGAATCATGAGCTTCAATTCTCTGTGAGCATCATGAGTTGTGATGGCTCATGAGTTATGAGTTATAACGAGTCGCTACTCCCGCCAGTGAGCCGCTCACTGCGAGTAGTGTATCACGTCATGGCTGTTGTGCGTTGAGTCTATTGTGCGGGTTTCAAGCCGCCGTCGCGCACAATGTAGGTGTGAATCGATGCTTCCTTCGTTACCTGATACCTTTTCCTATCCTCTCATATAAGGCAAAGACAAAGCAAAGATGTGATGATAGACTAGCACTGATTGTTGTTATACACTGACTGAAGTGAGTGCGGAGGTCAATATTGCTCAGGAGCACCCAATCGGGTGAAACAGTGAGTGCCCTGATGCTAGGCGCATGCGTGCTGTGCGTGTCTAGGCTGTGCGTAGCGAACGTTCACATTTGCCGTATGGCGAAGAACTCTGGACCTCATAGTCTCGGGATAGAGCTTTTTGCCGATTCGTTCAATTTCTAATAGAAATTATCTTCTCTCAGACAGGCTTCATTTTCCAAATGCAATTCTCTGGTTGGGCTCTCACCCTTACACTCACAATTTTGGCGGTCATCAACCCTACGGGTGTCGTTGCCTGCAGTCCGGGAGATACTTTTGGTTGTCCGGCTGGATGGTATTGTCAATGCCGCGGTTCCACGTGCAACTGTGCCTCTGCTGGCCTCATGAGTGCTGATAATGAACTCCCCAGAAGGGTTCTCGTCTAAAACCATTCGAGCATGGATCATGCTGAATGGTGTCGACTTGAGCTCAAAGCTACTCTTTATTTTGATTTTTTATCATTTTTCCAGTTTTTTCCCGGGTCAAATTCCTTACCCTGCTAGTAGGCCATGGTGTCACGCGTTCTCCAACACGTCGACTCCCGGTTGGTCTACCTAGAGTCTAGGTCCTAGACAAGAGAAAGGTTCATTTTATTCCCCTGATCGTTCTTTCTATCTTGGCTTGTGCTCAAGTTTGTCAATATGTTCCACATCCAAGATTCAGATCTGATGCCTCCATGACGTGCTCCACTCGATGTGGAGGAATTGGTGGTCATGCTCCGCGCGTCAGATGATCTGACTCAGATCGTGCGCATTGGTCAGTCGATTCGCATTAGTCAGTCGAGTAAGGGGGGACATGTAACGCTCAAGGGTTGAATGATTCAACTTGAATCATTCAGTGTCGAATCGGCCCTCGCAAGATTTGCAGGACGTTCCATATGCACAGCTGGACGGATTGCTAAGAGCATTCCTTTGCCTAAGAACAATCTTCAAGGACGTGCCCGAAGTGATGCTCAACAGATATTCCCGAATTGCTCGGGATTTCTGAGGAGTTCAGTTTTGGGCTGCACGGTTTTCGGCCAAGGCGCCTTCCCGAGTCGGCAACGTGTCACCGTGACAGCGCGTGATATTCACTATAACCGCTTTGTCACGAGGCACGTATCCACGGTTGTTGCGGATACCTTCCATACCACTTCAGAGAGTACCTCTTCAGAGGAATACCGTTGATATGAGGAGCGTTGAGAACGCGAAGTAACATAAAGTGGAGAGTAGTGGAGATACGATGACACACTTTACCTTTGTGTTATGATCGGCCACTGGCCAACGGCCAGAACACTGTGTTCTGCACACGTAGGGGTTGGCAACAGCTTCGAGATCGGTATCCGAATCCACTCCCGGTAGTGATTGGTACAACTCTTCCGTGCCGCTGAGGAAGACTGTTCAACAGACCGATTCGCGCAATTCTGAGAGCGTTTCCAAAATCGCAAATTCCAGAACCACCCCGAGTGAGACTGAAAATTTCGTGGCGCGTGACAGAGGCTTCATATTATGAAGTTCATACACCCCTCCACACATTCTCAGCATATCCGGTTTTTTATGCTCCACGTGATATAAGTTATATCACGTGGAGCATAAGAACATACCTCCCTGGGACGCAAGATGGTACTCGTCGTGGTGACGGTGCACGAGTCAGTTATATCATATAACCTCCAAGTTTCAGGGCCTAACTCTTCGTAGTTAGTGAGTAGTCGAAAAGTGGTGAAAAATTTTATCTACATTCTTAACATACGTACATGTGTTAAAATCACGCCTCGAAATACTAACTTTTACTGGGGAAGTATATCTATAACTTTGCGCCTAATCTAGTGCTCCATATCAATTGAAAGAGGATCTTTCACAATGGTATCCCTCTATGTTTCAGCCCCATATTCGAATTTATTATTTATTTAATTTATTTATGGAGACCCGGCTGCCGTTCACTGGTGATCAGTGGTTGGTCGTCTCCGTTAAAAGATCATCGATCAGCTACGCATGATCAATTCCGGGGATGACCTGTGGTCGAGGAGATGACTGGTCATGCTAGCGGTATCTCTGTCATATGAGCGCCACATCGCAAGCTAACACAGACTAATTGCCTAAATTTCGATGATGGCCTCATATTGACCGTTTCGATTCGCAGTGGGAAATGCTCATGAAGGCCAGAACCACTCAGGAATGCCAAATATGGCGATATTGCAGGGGGTTCCTAGCTGAGTGCATGGGGATAGGGCATACCCCGGCTTTATGTGGCCGGCGGTCGCCGACTCATCTATGTCTCCTGTCAAAAGGGGACCCTTTTTAGCGGAACCCAATACGCTATCCAGGTTCACTAATAGTAAACTTGGATAAATTACTATCCATATGCAACTGCTCGTATCGAATATGAGCATCCGATTCGAGCTTCAGTCCAACCAATCCGATGAAATTCTCCACTTTTACCCATGGTCCCAGACCAGCGGTCTGGCCACACGCCAGTGCTCCGTAGCCATCTGGCTCAGGATCATCATCAGATTAGTTTATCATGTCTGACTCATCAGTCCTACGTAAATCTAAGAGGACGCGCAGAGGGAAACGGAGCATGGGTGCCATGCCATGGCGCACGAGATTATCCGTCTAACACGACAAGCTCTGATTCATTCTGGTCTACATGACCAACTCGAGGTGACTAGACAACATAATATTATTCTGCTAGGTCCAAAGCTCAATTCTGATATCGTCTATGGTCACCCAACACACAAAAGAAACTTGCATGACCTTATACATGCAAGCGAGTTGACAAACCACTTGATGCAACCATTAGAACATATTCAATGGGCTACTCACCATGACATCTCGCCAAATTCTTCTATTGGGGCCCAATAATTGGGCTACCCACGATGCTTCAAGCAACTTTAGTGATTCAACAAGAACTTTCACCATCTCAGCTAAAGTCGCTTCGGATCCACAACACGCTGCACATCGGCAACTGGTTGGGTACTTCCATTGGAAGTCTTCCAAGATACTTTAAAGGATAATCAAGTTTGATGCTGCCGTAACAGCCCAGAGAATTACAGCTCAATGAGCTCATCATGGCTCTCTATGAGTCATAACGAACCGCTACTCCCGCCAGTAAAGTGCTCACTACGACTAGTGTATCATATAGATGGGCAG